CTGGAGAACATAACGGTATCGGCGAATTGCGCCATCTTCCTGCCGCTGCGCCAGCTGACAAAGGCCATAGTGGAGCACTTCATGGACTTTATGCAGAACGCCGAGGAGCTGTTCCCCAAGGAGTACGGCCTGGCCGAGCCAGACGGACGGGGCAGCTTTGCGCAGATGATCCGTCTGTGCATCGAGATGCTGGAGAAGTGCGGAAAGAAACTGAACAATGCCAAGATCGTGTACATCACGGACGTGGAAGAGCCGCACCCACCGTCCAGCCCAGAGTTTCAAACGGCACTGCAAAAGGCCAGTGATCTGGAGGGCAAAGAGTTCGAGTTCCAGGTGATTCCCATGATCGATGACTTTGACTACGAGCCCTTCTACAAGGAGTTCATAACGCTGTCGCGAGGTAAGTCGTAAGCACATAAGACTCGCTCCACATGCGACATTTGTTCCCCTTGCTGGCGTGCAGCTGTAGCCAGAAAGGTTTCAAGATGTCGCAGAGCAAACAGAGCAACTGTTTCACCCGCATCCAACTGAAGTACTATTGGGTTGCGCTTTTGAATTTGCTCACAAAACTACTATTTATGCTTAAGGAGCTCAGAGCTGGTACTACAGCTAATAATAGGTAGAGGCAGAGAGAGAGGAATGGATGTGAATTTGTTGATAGATAATCATTTGCAACTAACAGTTGACCGTTGTATTCTTTACGCTCTATTCGCGAATTCTACTTACTCGCTATCGCTCTGAGCAAGGGTCTTCGGTTCTATTCATTTTGAGAACCTCGTTTAGGGAGAGATACGATTGTAAATGAGTTATAGATCAAAGACTCATTGCAAACGGTCTTCACTCGCACGTTCCCATGCCCACACTCTCTTCACGTGCGCAATGCATGTGTATAGCGAGTACAACCTTAGCATATATACCATGGTTAACCCAATCGAGCGTTCGAGGAAATTCGATCTGTCCGAACGATGCAATCGGTTGCTCTCTGAGGTTTTTCTCTGAGTGTCTGTAAGAAATATGTAAGAATGGATAATCAAGAACTTAGCATCTTAGATGGAGCGACGGTTGGCAGATTGAAGAACTAATAAGGGTACGTCTCGTGGGGCGGACCGATCGACAGATAATTTATACGGACAGAGTATGTCTCGCCGATGAGCAAAGACTTCAGAAATGGTTTACAGATATTATAGGTATGTAGGTAGGAGGTAGAGATGGACAGATGCTGTCCTATATGGCGACGCCTACGGATGGAAGGAACAGCAAATAAAGACATGGATTGAATGACATGGATGAATGGACAGATAACTAAATGGCGAATGGAGTGTTGAATGAGCAGACGAACAAGAACAAGGAAGAGACGGAAGTATCTGTGCACCAACAACAACAACAAACGACAATTGTTAGCTGCATCCCATGATATCTGACTCATAGCTTAAGGGGATCCAGCTACAAAATTTCATTGAATTTATGCTATATACAAATTGGCAAACATCAAAAAATACTTTTTATTGTGTACGATTCTCTATGAGGGATGGAAAAGTGTTGAGTCGAAATTCAAATGACTGTTGTTAAGCGAAAAGTAGATAATGTAGATAATGCAGAACCTGTAATTGAGTGTGGTCAGAGTTAGTGGGAGGGTTGCAAATCCATAAATGTTAACATTTCTTAAATCTCTTTTAGCCATCGAAATAGACGCGTTTCGCGTGCCGGACGCGCAGCTGCAGCGCGAGATTCTGGAGGATCGCAAACTGAGGCAAGACTTTCTGCGCCGCTGTCTGGGTCACTTTACGCTCTCGCTGGGCCCCAATCTAGATATATCGGTGCAGTACTACAATTACTTCCAGCGGCGCGCCTATCCGCAGAAGGTGCACATCATGCGGCGCGACAACAGCGTCGTGCGCAAGCGGCGGCAGATTATGGTGCGGCAGCAGGACGGGCAGACGCAGGAGATAACGCACGAGTACCAGATCAAGATGACGGGCGGCTGGTACGAGTGTAAGATAGGCGAGGAGAAGCTGCGTGTGACCACGGAGCAGCTGAATCGCGTGCGCAACTTGCATCCGCCGGGCATGATGCTGCTGGGCTTCAAGCATCGCTCCACGCTGCCCACCAATTCTTACAGCAAGCCGTGCAGCTTTATGTACCCGGACGATCAGAAGATCATTGGCTCCAAGCGACTGTTCCGCGCGCTCTGGCAGCGCTGCTTGGAGCGCGCGAAGATTGCGGTTTGTCTGTTCATGTGCAAGCGCAAGTCCGTGCCGCGCTACGTGGCGCTGGTGCCCGTGGAGGCGGCCCAGCCGGACGACAAGAACTACCGCTCGCTGCTCTCGGGCGATGGCTTCAAGATCGTCTACCTGCCCGAGGCCAAGCACATACGGCACATCGACATGTGCGACTGGAACAGCACGGCTAACACGGCAACGGATGAGGGCGTTGACTTTTTCCAGAAGGTGATCCGCAAGCTGAGCGTCGACTACCAGCCCAATCTTATCAACGACCCCAATCTGGAGGTGCTGCAGTCCAATCTGCTGGCCCTGGCCTTGGACTTCAAGACCGAGGACGACGGTCTCAGCCAGCTGCCCGATCCGGCGATGCAGAACAAGCGCATCGAGAAGCTGCTGCCCACCTACGAGACGTTGTTTATGCCCGAAGTCGAGCCGGCCAAAAAGCGTGCGGCCAAGTCCAACGCCGACGAGGCCAGTGCGCCAAAGGTGGCCAAAATTGAGCAGGAGCAGCTGTGCAGCTACGACTTCGTGGAGCTGCTGATCAAGGACAAGCGACTGAACGCCTGCACCGCCCAGCAGCTGCGCTACATACTCGATGAGCATTTCGGCGTAAAACTGCCCAAAACCGCAACCAAAGCTGTGCTCATCGAACGCATCAATGCGCTAAGCGTCGATTGTTGATGCTGAATTGTAAAATAGATATGTGAGAAGTGTTTAAGTATTAGTATTAAGAATTGTTAAACTGCAACAGGAAATGTGAATGCATTGTTTGTTTTGCTGAGCATCAATTTTATATTTTTGTATATGCAAAATACATCCTATACATATATGCCTAATAATAGTTATGTTATGCCATTATATACCCTTAATACCTCGTATACCTTTCAATAGAATTGTAGAGCTACAACAGGAAATGTGAAGGCATTGTTATGAGCATGAGAAGATAATGGAACAAGTTGGAATTTTCGAAGATCCGAATTATATTTATGAATAAGCCAAATGCATTTGACATACATATGCCTAATATCTATGCTTGCAACTTGATTTACTTAAAACAAATTTAATTCGTTAATGAGATTGTTGAGATTGTTATATTGCAACAGGAAATTGTGAATACATTGTTATAAGAGTTAATAGAACAAATAAGCATTTGCCATGGGTTAGATTTATATTTGTGAATATGCCAAATACATTTGACATACATATGCCTAATAATATTTTATTAAATATATATAATAAAAATAAATTAAATATTTGAATATTAAGTATTAATATCTTATTAAAATATATATTTCATTGCCTTTTATATACCTTTTTGGGCTGCAGCAGTAAATGTAAATTCAATTATGTAATTAAGCATCAAATTCATATTTATGATTAATAACAGTTGGTCATTTGATTCTTTACGCTCTGTATGAAAAATCTACCAGAAAAAAATCAAAAGAGCTCCCGCTCTGAGAAAGAGTCTTCGGGTGTTTTCATATTCTGAGAAGCGAAGCGTCTGGAGTTGAGTTGGACTATTCGTGTGACGTCTCTTAGTGAGCATCGCTCAGGGATAGATCCGATTGACGTTCGTGAGCGTGAACGGTCTCCACACTAAATTCACGTACCCCAGCCATGTATTGAGCGAGCAAAACCCATGCAGACACACCAATACATACACAATCAACTCAAGCAGGAATCGAACGATCTCTTCAAAGAACCAATGCAAATGGCTGCACTCTATATATGTATGTATGTATATAAGGTATGACATGGCATAATAATATTAGTGTTTGTGCCTTAAATAATGAACTGTGTACAGCGAATGCATAAAAGGCTTTGTGGCTAGCTCAGCTCAGGCTGTGTTTCTTAACTTTCGTAATCCACTTAACGTAAAGCCGTAGGTTCGTTTTCGCGGTTGCCGGACATGGTTTATTTCTGCAGTCAGCGTAAATTGCATAATTCGACTCTTAACCCGAATAGCAGCAAATGTCCTTATGGCGTATGAAGGAGCTCGCAACTTTTGGGCGACTTTTGGGCCGGGCAGAACTTTGCACTCGCCTTTGTCCGATTCGAGGAACAAGCGTCAAAAGGCGAAATGCTGTAGCGTTCGCGTCAGTTGTTGTGTTCCTCGAGTGCAAAATGAGTTAAAAAATTATGAAAAGTGCAGAGGGAGCGAGTGTGCAAAACGAGGCGTGGCAGGTGGGCGAGAGCAAAGACCCATTTACGCACTTGCAAACAGTGAAAGAGTGAAACCGTAAAGAGGTAAAAGTTGCACCGAAGAACGGAAGTTGCGAGTTGGCCGAGCTTTGGCTTTGCTGCTGGCCAACTTCAAGATGGCCAACACGAATGTGGCCCGCCTTTTACTTTCTTGGCACTTTATTTTAATTTCTGCGGCGCCGCGGCTTGTTCGAAACTTTCTTTCTTCAGCTTTTACGTACTGCTGCCACTTTTCTTTGCTGGCCAGCGTAACTTGTGGCTAAGTCGAAATTACTTTGCCAAGCGGTTGGCCGATACCCTGTAAACAAAAGGGCAAAGGTAGCATTGGCTGCACAGATAGTTTGTCGAATAAATTACGAAGATCATTAATCTATATCTATAGCAAGACAATCTGCGCCTGATCTTTCCCCTTTCCTGGCATATTGAAAATCGTATAAATTATCTATCGATATTACGGCGTTTCAAACTATCTTTATTACGATGTCCCACTCCGGCTTACTACAAATTCAACTTTAACAAAATTTGGTCCATTCCGGGCATACTACAAAAAACAGATGACACTTCTTTTTTTTACAGTTACTTGGCTGGGATACGCATATCCTTGAGGGCATTAACAGCTTGCTGGTACAGCTCCAATCCGTTCAGATGGGGGTTCACATCTAGATACCTCTTGAGCTTCTTCTGTTGCTTTTTCAGATACCACGTACTCTCGGCCAATAACAGTTGGTACTCCCGTATGAGCTTCAGGTGCTCGACTTTGCGGTCATCAGGTGCCGACTTGTGAATCGATTTGATGAGCCGCTGCTTCTCAGATCTGATCTGGTGCGCGTGGAACTCCTGCCGACTTAGCATGAACAGCATCGTGTGGACAAGCTCCTTCAAATTACGTTGCCTCTGGTCCCCCATCCTCTTCTGCATAATTCTCTGTTTTATTCTTGATTGGATACGTTAGAAATTAAATGTTGTGCAAAATACATTTAAAAAAAAACTGTTACATGATTAACAAACTAAACAAAACACAATGTTTGCTGAGATTGCTGGGAGTATTCGAATTTGACATGAGGCTTAAGGCAGCTGCAAATTCTGGTCTCAATTCATCTGAAAGCTAACGAAAAGTTAAATCCGACGATTTTTAATTGGAAACTTTGTTTAAAGACATTGAAAAAAGCCTACGATAATTGTGCTTCAATTTAATTTAGTTTTAATTTCATATAATTTGATACAAATATGTAAACGATTGCAGTTAGCTTTGATTTCAGAATAAATTCTTATATATTGCTTAAAGATTTTTTCCTGTCCATCAACATACGAATCACCTTAATGTAAACTGTTTTAGGTTTTTATATTTATTTGCCAATTATTTAACGACAGCTTCAGCCGTCTTGCCACATTAAGCCACACTTGGCTTTAATTTTAGTAAATAAATGCAAGAGACAAACACAATGACCGCTAAACACACAACACTATCATTAATATAAATATATATTTATAAACGGGTGTGTGTGTGTGTGTGTATCAAATGGGTCAAGCGGAAGTAGCGCTGAAATTCATTTCCGTTTTACTCATACATTAAAGAGAAGAGATAGAGAGAGAAAGAAAGAGAGCTGCGATGAAATGCAAAATGTTTAACTAATGATAATTCAATTATACAGGCAGTCAATAAATATAATTAGCCATCAATAGGCCAACTTATCCCATTGAGTGCTAGCTGAGAGTCTTCACTGTGCAGCGTAGAGAAACAGAATTTTAATTGGCTCACTTTACTGGCTAAAGACTCTAATTAAAGGCGAACCGAGCTGGCTCAGTGCTCGGTTCCATTAATCATCATCTTATTTATCTTTCGAATTTGGCCCGGCATTAATTTCAATGAGTATAACCAAAACATGCACATGCCGAGGGCCTACGCCATGGACTTGCCTCAGATAATAATTTTGTGTCAATTAATTACAATTACCCTGCAGCAGCTCGGCGATTGTGCGACTTTGTCAATTGAACAGACACAGCACAGCATAGGTAAAACGCCATGCAGCTGCCCGAGGCAAGCAGACAATAGTAATTTAATGTGTGCATGTGTATGTGTGTGTGTGTGTGGATGCACTTGTGCGTGTTTCTGTAGCTGCAACAAAAGACTAAAATATTTGTCAAGGGTATTTGTGCAGAGTGTGGACAAAGTGTATCCACAAAATTGTGGAAAGTTGAAATTTAATCAACTTGCTTGCCCTGGTACCCCGTGGCGTATGCGTTATAAATGTGTCTGTGGACATAAATTGAATATCACCTCAAAACAGGCAGCAGGCATTCGAGTCAGCTGAGTCAACAGACAAACAAAAGTGACAACAAAACATGTCTCAAGCACCCTGCAGAGCACAGAGTGTGTGTGCGAGAGAGAGAGAGAGCGGGAGAGAGAGTCTGTGTAAATTGGTCAGTAAATAGCAAACAACTGGACTGCAGGGGAACATTCTCAAGTATTTAGTTAACTAACTGGCCTTAAATTTCTGAAAGTGTCTTTTGACTCTGCTCCTTTCAAATATCTGCTTGACATAAATAAAAATCCTTTTTGAGCTGCTTTTCGATTACGAACACTTCAGATGAAATTCATTTTCAGCTTAAATATGCCATTCAAATACACATATGCATACAAATACGTAAGCCGTCTATAGACGGCTCAGATTAGACGCGTCTTAGGCGCACAGCAGCATAAGAGCTTACAGCTCAGCTTAAAACGCGTCTCGAGGTAGCAGACAAATGTGTTGCCTACTTATCGGCGCTCAGATGATTTATATGTCTACTTGATGGCAGCTGGAAATTTAAATAAAATCCAATTGAAATTACACCAAATGCAAATACTTAAAATTTAACTGTACAAATTTAATGTAATTTTTTATTCATTTATATATTTTCTTTTTTATTTTATTGCATATTAGGGAATCGAATTAATTAACTCTGATTCTCACCTTCAAGGCTTAGAAATCAGAGTGTGATTTATCTCTATTTAATGTCGATCTGTGCTCATCTGAAATTTCGCCAGCTGCTGCTGCCGCTGCTGCTGCTGAATCATCCGTATTTACATAGCTACTAATTTGTGTGGCATGAATGAAAGCCAAACCACAGCCGAACCACCCAACCACCGACTTGTGGCTGCTAACGCAACGCCGTCTGCCTAGCAACTGCAAATGACTGATGCATGTGTGTGTGCGTGTGTGCGTGAGTGAGTGTGATGTGTGTAAAGATGAAAACATGGGATAGCATAAGAAAAAAGCGCAGCAAAGCGTTAAGCCGTTGGCGGTTGCGTTAAGCAACAGCTGCTGGCGACACCTTGCAAGTGTTGTAAAGTGTCGGACGGAAGGAGAGAAAGAAGCGTCACAAGGCTGACGTTGCTAATGCCACAATATGCGAGTGCAACCGCTGTCTATGTGTCTGTGAGTGTGTGTGACTGTGTGTGAGCTGCCGTATATGCGTTGTCGCTGAGAATACACACACACACACACACACACACAAATGCATTGTGGTTAAGCAATTTGCGCCAAACGAAATGAAAGTTCTAAGCGCATTGGCCGTCACATGTATCAGCACACACACACACACTCACAGACACACACACACATACATATAAAGCCTAAGTTACCCAAAAGGATGTGCAAGAAATCTTTATAAAATATAGTACTATAAACTGAATTAAAATAAATAAGAATTAAATAAATAAAAACGTAAATAAATGAAATTTAATATGTTAAAAATTTAAGTAATGTATTTTTTTTTAATATAAAATTACTATACCTTAAATTTACTTAGAATTGAAATAAAATACAATTTTATTACCTATACGAAAATAAATTCAAGTAAATAAAAAATTAAACTAATTTTAATAATAATAAAAAATTAAATAATATTATTTTATTTTAATTTAATTTGAATTTAAAATTTTTCTGATTAAAATGACTATACAAATAAAAATGTATTAAATTTACTAAACAAATTAAATTAAAACAAAATAAAATTTCCACAAAAATTAAAGTATAATTAATATAAAACTTATTAAATGACAACAAATAGTTTATTATTATTTATTTATTTCTGTAAAATGCAATTAAAATGAAAATTTTAATATTTTATGAATTAATTTATTTTAAATTAAATACATATGCATCGGGTCTTGCTTTAACATTAATAACCCTCCAAAAGTTTTCATAAATTTTCATATTCCTATATAAATCTTCCGACTAAAATCGAACCTTGCGCTGTAAACCTGCAGCTGTCAGCTGTGCATTTGGCATGCCATCGAGTCCGCTTGGGTGCTATCGGTTTGTGTGCACCAGGTGCGATATGGCAAAGCTGTCATATAACTGCTTGTCTGTCTGTGACTGTGTATGTGTGTGTGTATGTGTAGCTGTTGGTTGGTTTTTTGTAGCTGCTGTTTTGCGGCTTGCGCTAAATTTCATAATTTTTGCTGCTCTGACTGCTCCTGCAGCTCCTGCTGCTGCTGCTGCTCCTTCTCTCGTAGCTGTAGCTGTTCCTGTTCCTGAATGTCTCTCAGTCACGTGTCATTCATATCATATCGCACAATAAACAAGACCGAGCGGCAATGACCGACCAGTCCATGTCGGCGCCCTGCTGCCAGCCGCTGTCCTGTCCTGTCCTTCGCTCCTGGCGCTGCTCCTTCGCTCCTGCGCCTGCCGCTGCTGCTTGTTGGCATGGCGCATCGTTTGTTACTGTGCTCGCCTTATTTCGATTTATTTTTATGTGCACTTCCTTGTGCACTTTGCATTGGTTTCTTTTTTGTTTTTATTTTTCACTCACATTTTTTTTAGCTCAACCCTCGGACTTGTTAACTGAAAATATTTTCTCATGCGTAAAATGCATGACAAGCGATGCAGACAGAGACGTTGACGCATTGAAATCCCAGCTGGGTGGTTTGCTCGGTGCTTAGGTAGCCAGCTTTGGCTGCCAAATTGTCTGGCTTTACCAAGTGGGCCAAATGGGCGTCAGCCGGGGGGACGAGGTGCTAGAGGGTGAGGCGTGTGCTGTGTCAGGTGTGTTTAGCGCGCAGGTGTATCGATTTGTTATACGCGTGAACTTGATGAAGTGTCGGGCAATCGGGCAAATATTTCATACGGGGTGGCAAATAAAAGAGAACGAGTTCACAGCGTTCACCCTGGGCCTGGTTGATGTGCTGCCCCATGCCACTAGATGGCTGAATAAATTGTGAATCAGCTTGAAACAGTCAGCAGCTCAAAATAACAAACAATGAAATAAATGGTATACGTAATTTCAGTCAGTATTTGATGCTTCAAGCTTGGCACGATCAAAGCAAAGTTTTGATTGTAAAATGCTGTATTAATGGAGCAAAAGACAGCGCACAGATCCTACTTCGATTATAGCTTCCACTATAGTTTCTTACTGCCACTTCATCTATTTGCATTTTTAGTAAAAAAGAGCTGTACTGGACTTTAGAGTCTTCCAAATTCTAATCAGAGAAATAGATAATTCTTTAATTGAGTTTTTTTTTTTTTTTTTTTTTTTTAGCCAGGCTTAACTCTTCTCTGAAATGAGGATTCTATAAAACACTTATGGATATTATCTCTATTTAACTTTCTTTAAACTACATTATTTGATCAGAAATTCTATTTAATTAGCTTCCCACTCTCGTCTTCCCTAAGTAAGATTTTTGATTTGATGTATTTCTTCTACACTTTCACTGGAAATTAAATTTTTTAAGCCTTTAAGCATTATTTTAGACATCGTCTATATATATATTCTTTTTGCATTTAATTAAGCATCCAACAGCAGCTCAAGTGAAGTCAGGCAAAGCCTTAGCTGGAGCTCCGTTTCCACCGTAATTGATCGGAAACGAATACAAAACCGAACTTAAATAAAAACATTTAATTAAATATGCAATGTGAATTAGC